TTTCATTTGTGAGGAAAATAAATGTAGTGGTATTTCTTAATATTTTAAAATGTGTGCTGATTCATTTCTTTATTCTTCAGAGTTGATAGAGAGGAAGCAAAAATCACTGCTTGGGAAAACCTGCAGAAGGCGAAAGCTGAGGCAGCAATACGGAAACTGGAGGTCTCTCTCTCCATCCATCTCTCTCACACACATGCGCACACATATTAGAGATGCAGTTTTTGTATGTATGTCCTGCAACTAGTGGCCCTTGTAATCTGTTTCAGATGAAGCTGGAAAAGAAGAGATCATCATCCATGGATAAAATCATGAACAAGTTGAGATCAGCTCAGAAGAAAGCGCAAGACATGAGAAGCTCAGTTTTAGACGACCAAGCACAAGTTGCAAGAACCTCACGCAAAGCTTTATCATTCCGAAGAACTTGTCATATGGGTTCTTTGAGCGGTTGTTTTACATGTCACGTTTTCTGATGCCTTCCAGCCACATGTTGCTCCACTCGAGCGATAAAGCAAGGTAATTGGTCTCTGCAAAATAGTTCACCTTTTTCCAAAAATTAACTTCTCAATCTTTGTTGTTTTATATGATGAATCGTGAATGTTGATTGTGATAACGATTTAACAAAACTCGAGCCATTGTAGTTTTTCAAAAAGTTTTTGAAATGACAACTAGCTGCTGATGCAGGTTAACTATAAACTACAACCTCTCCGATTCAATTAGCTGCATGTGCTTGGTTTCATTGTGCCGTCTAATGAATGCTATGAAACCTTACGTGATTCTTATACTATGTTCTGATGCCGAATGGCAATTTATCTTCCAGCCTAAAATCAGGACACACATGAACGGTGTACAGCAGTTAGCAGCTACTATTTTGACACTTGATCAGCGTCAACGCAGTTTTATAGTGGCACGAAGCACCAATGCCCGAAGTTCAGTTTTAGATGACCCTACCTGGTGAGAAAATTCTTGGTGATTCAGTGACTAATAATGCTTGTGTGTATGTAAATCAAAGACTTCAGATTGTATACTATGTTCAATTTTTTTTCTAAACTATGAAGCCTCTTGTGCAAATGGAACTACAATCGTCTTCTCTATAGTTTTCTCAAAACAAGGATCAATTAGATTGCTCCCCTTACGATTTTGTGATCGATTTTGAACACTCACCTTCTTCGTACTCACATCTTCATGCATTAGAATTTTGATTCGATTCAATGTCGCGTTTAGTTTGTAACATGATCAGTTACAACCAAGGAAGAAAATATCTGTAATATCGGTAGTTCGAAAACACGGAAATATCGATGGAAATATCGGGATAATATCGATATCGATAAAAATTACATGGAAACCACGGAAATTGTAAGAAAAACTTGGAAATTTTTATTGAAACTTTGCAGGATGTTTATTTAGTCAATTATCTATTAGTTTATCACAAAAAATTGGAAGGAAATGCATTGCATGATGGATTTAACATTATCAAGTTGATTATATAGCGAGCTGACAAACATTGTGAGTGTAGAAAATATGTAGTAATTAATGAAAGAAGTTTAAACACACCATAATCATTTATATATAATGAATTAGTACAATATTTTACACTTTATACATTGTATGGTAAGATACATGAGTGAGTTAGTACCACATAGAGTCCTATGAGTTCAAAATCACTATCTTCATCATCTCTATGTGTAGAGTGAGTGTATTTTGAAGAGTAGTTAGCACCATGACAATGGTTTTTAAGAACCAAAAACCCAAAAGTCAATAGGAACCGAATACTCGGTATTTTTCGGGATTACCAAACAAATGGGATTTGGAAACCAATCCCATATCGAAAATTTCGGTATTTTTCGAGATGGGATTCCCGAACTTCAGGATGGTTTTGGTTTGGGATTTTCGGTTTGGGTTTTGAGACTTTTCGGTTTGGTTTGGGATTTTCTGGAATTTTTTCCAGCCCTACCATGTAAGTGACGCAAATAAAAATAGAAAAATTAAAAAACCACATGCCATTGACTAAGTAATTAATTGACACAATTTAAAATATAATACCACAAAAAATTTGGAAAATGTGCAAATTTGTTTCTTGTAAAAAGAATTCAAAACAAAAGAATATATATAAATATTGTAGCATATTATCACAACAACATAAGTGGTATAGTGGTTAAGGTGTTAAGAGTTAAGTGGGAGGGGTTCGAACCCCTCTATGCTCAAAATTGAGACTTTTCAAAATTTTCAGGAATTTTTGGACTAATATCACGATATTAGGCGATATTATAGCTAATATCGCGATATTTTAACGAAAACTCATTGGATACTCATTAAAATATCGGTAACTCAAAAAAACGAAAATATCGCCGATATTTTGGATATTTTCTTCCATGGTTACAACTAGCAATTTTGTGAAACAGAGATCCAGATTTTGTTCCGCCGTTCATACAGACCATCAAATCTAAAGCGTCTCGGTAAATAAAACTTTATTGCAGGATCTTTTAAGTTAGAAAAGTGAATTTTGCATATCTTTTTGTGTTTTACACGTTTCATTTCTGATCGTTGAATCGAATTAATCAAAAGAAGAAGAAGGTCACTGAATCAAATTATCAAAAGATCTGGAGAGAAAAATAAACCATATTCCAGCATATGACATGGACTTTATAGGGTTCATCAATAATCGATATAACGTCGTATAGCATGAATCACTGTTATTGTCAGATGACAATGAATGGTTTACGTTTTTTCAATTCTTCTTCTTAGTTATCAAACATTTGCAAGGTGTGTATCATGTTTCATGAGTATTTTAGTCTTAATCTTTTGATGTTATTAGCGGATTTGAAAACAGCTAGTCTGGCAATACTTCTCTTCCTAACGCTTGAAACATTGATCATTTACCGCCCATGATATGATGATAAAATGACAACATAATAAAAACTTACCATCTGTGACTAAATGTCAAGGTTGTTGAATCTCGTATCGGCTGTAGAAAAAGAGAAGTAATAGTTTAAATATCCGAACCTTAATACCGTGACATTTTGTGATAAAATCCCACACATGACAGATTATGTAAGTGGTAATTACCAAGTTGGAGACTAGTCCGTCTCTCTGATATTCTATAAGACCATCTCCAACCCTTGGGCTAAAAGCCAAATTTTTTAGCCCGGAAAATTTAGCTTTTAGCCCAGAAACATCTTTTCTGCTCCAACCCTTCTACCCTAAAATTTTAGCCCGGAATTATTAAAGAATGAATTTAGGCTAATTTTTTTCTTAAATCATTTTTTTTTAAATACATATGTAGATTATTGTAAATTAATTTTATGAACATTTTAATCTAAAAAAATTTAAATTCCGATAAAATTTGACATTTAGCCTGGGGGGAAAGCTGAGGGGTATTTGGCCCAGAAATAGCATTTGGCATTTAACCTAAAATTTTAACATGGGTTTGAGAGTGTTTGGGGAGGGTAATTTGGCTTTTAGCCCAGGGTTGGAGATGGTCTAAAGGTTGCCCTTTTTTATCCCAATTTTGCTGAAATTGACGGATAGTCCCATGACCATTGATAAACATTGGGCCTTCACGTGGTCTGCAATGTCTGATCTGAAATATTTTCATCGTGGAGACCAGGCCTCGGCAAAGGCAGTAAAAGATGGCATCTTCCAAATACACCCAAAAATTGACTTGGTACACCCAAATGACTTGGAAAAAAATTAAAAAAAGAAAAAGAAGAAGAAACATTTCAAATTAGTTGAGCATGACATTTATTTTTATAGCAATTTAGTTACAATTCTATTGAACAATTTCATTGCGAAGCTTTCACCTCCTTTCCGACGTTTCCATTAATTTTGGTTTAACCCACGACATTAATCCTATTTACACAAAACAAACTACTTTATTAATACACTTCCTAACAAAAGTAGGCATCACCATTTTAAGTGAGATATACTTGTATATTAAAGAGTGTGACAGTAATGCATGTAATTTATTTTGTGCGTCCCTAAGTAACATTTAATCATGCAAATATGGAAACCTAACTCATAGGTGTAATCTTCTGCTCAATACTCTAGAATTGACAATCAAATCGTCTAACAACTCAATACTCCTAAATCGACAATGAAATTGCCTAACAGCTCAATACTCTATAACCAACAATTGAATCACATAATGTTGCATCATTCAGGAAAATGCGACATAATCCCATTGGCTAAGACTAAAGTGCTCAATAATTTGTATTAATGCAAAGTAGAACATCTCTTATAAAAAGGATAAATGTTTCAGTATGTTGAGAACATGATCCGGTACACTATGTGTCATAATACAATTAGTTGAACTGTCATAATACAATTAGTTGAACATTTCAATTAATTGTATTGTTATTTAGATGTATCCGGCCATATTCTCAACACGCTGAAAATCTGTCGAGTAGCATTACTCGTTGTGACAATGAGAGGTGGGTTTATCCATACTTCTATAAGTGGGAATTGGGACAAATTCGATGTGAAGTTTTGTGTTGAAATAAATACCACCAGCGAGAAAGGACAGAGGGAGGAGGAATATTGAGAAAAGGATCCTCGTCGGATCTTTTTCTAAGGGATCCTATGGATCCCGTGATCTCATCTGTTTATCGTAAATCGTGCAGTCAGTTTTTTTTAAGTATTATGTATATTTAATTTTAAAATAATTTCTGATTGCACGATATACGATGAATAGATGAAATCACGGAATCTCTTGGATCCATAGGAAAATCTGGATCCTTTTCCGGAATATTGGGCCAAGAGATTAAGATTGTGTCACCCTCCGTCACTACCCTAGTGGGCCCCTACCAAATCTAATCCGACCAACCAACGTGTCTTAGTCCCACTTTTTGGACTCTAGTCATTACTCATTTGGTTGGCCTTATCTTTTGCATATTCTACCCTTAATTTTATCTAAACCACCCCCACACAACCCCCCCACACACAAATTTAACAACAAAAATGAAGGAAATTGTTATTGACATTTAAAGTTTTTGATTTAGTATTGTAAATTTTTTATATTTAAAATGAAAAATACATTTGTGAAAAAGTGTAAATTGAAATTTTTAAAATCCTGATAACAGTTCTTAAAATCAATATACTCCTCCAATATTATAAGGACTTGGTGTGAATTCACCTGTAGCATCTTGGTTTTTTATTTATTTATAGAAACGACACTTTTACACTGAACCATACATTATGAAAGAAATTTTGAAAACAGGAAAAAAGATGAAAGAAGGACACTATATACTAGGGCAATTCCGCACTCACATTTCACATGCAATTTGTATTGTTCTGTACAACGTAACATAAAATAAAAAATCTGAATTCTAAATAAAAACTTGTTACACGTTTTATATTTTAATTTGATGATGCATGTCACTCATTCTGTCACTTAATTACATTTCCGAGAAAAACAAGAAAGAACACCAATCTCTCTAATGCATGTATTTACTTAAATTGACACCAAATTCAAGTTTTTGGTTGTAGGGTTTAGAAATTGAACCATTTCATTGCTTTGGTGCATGAAGTGGATGTATGAAAGAGATGCAAAGCACTTGTGCGTTTTGGAAGTGTCTATGCTTTGTATTCGTAGGACAAGGGGACACCTCTTACTCTATTGAAGACGACCTTTGAGGATGAGGATGTTGGGGACCATAGCCATATGTCTCACATGACATGGGTCTTCTCATTGTTTTTTGTTTGACCATTCTTATTTAGTAAAAGTTATTAATATCTATATATTATCATGTCTATGTTTCCCTTATTTTTTTTATTTCCCCTAGATTGTGTTAGATTTGGTTGGAATGTTGTGGATGTAGGGAATAAATGGTTTTTTTTTTTTTTTTTTTGGTGTGTTGAGACATTAGCACTTCCCTCATTAGATCCTCCATTGGGAAGCAACCTACCCTTCATTTCTCTTTACTATATTTGCAAACAATATTGACCCCTTTTTCGGTAACAGAAAGTTTAGCGGGAGGGGAGACTACCTCATCTCACGACAACAAGGCATTCTACAAGTTTATTTGAGGACTTACAAAGGGTCTATTTTTTTTGGTTTTTATAGAGCTTCATCAAGAGAGATTGCTGGCAACGGAACTCGAACTTAATTAGATCTTAATCTAGTAAAAAGAACGATCTTTTACCAACTT